TTGATATCCAATCTTATCAAATTCATTTTCAAATTCAATTTCCTTTTTATCTTTAACTATCTTTTTAATTTTATATCGTCCTCTTTTGGTTCTAGGTTTTTTATAATTTTTATTAGTCATTTTGTGATAATCTAGGACTTGATTGTATTCTTTTCTTATTTTGGTAACTTAGATGTAATTATTATACTTGGGGTATTTTAGGTAGTTTCAATTTTTTAGAAAAGTCGAAAGCCTTTTTTTAATTATGGCATGATATTTAGGCTATCCACATATTTCCTCAGATTTTGGGCTTCGAATGGATTGTGGAGCTGACCGATGTAACTTATTATTTTTTTTCTAAAACTTGGAATAGTCAAATCTGCCTATGGATTAGTGAGGTTAAATATTGTGAAAATTACATGTAATCAGAGTTTTAAACTTTCCAATTCAAAATTAAATTTACAAGTTTTTTTTTTAAATCAGATAATTGAAATTTTTAATATTAATAATAATATTAAAAATTAGTTTATATATTTATACCCTAACAACCCCAAAATCATCTACTCTTTCTTCATCTCCCTTTCCCTTTCCCTTTCCCTTTCCCGTCTCTCTACCCTCTCACTCATACTTGTGTGCAGTACGTCGATATGTGGTATGTTGTGTGGCGATATATAGTGTGCAGCGGTGCGTGGTTTGTGATGGTGTGTGCATATGCGATCTCTATATGTTGTGGTGTGTGTGGATATATGCGGTGGTTATCTGTGTGATATGTATGCAATGATGCTAGTTGCGGTGGTGGAGGTGTTGTTGTGGCGATATGTACATTTTGGGTTGTTTTTTCCTCCAACCTGCTTAGTCAGAGTTTGGGATGTACGGTGATGGTGGTGGTGTTTGCGGTGGTAGAGGGTGGGGTGCAGTGGTTTTGAAGTTTTGGGCTGGTGATAGTAGTTCTACAGGTGGTTGGTGGATCTGTTGTGAGGTGTAGATCATGCCTCTATCGACCCAAATGGCCATTACAGTAGCGCAAATTGCGGTGGTGATGATTTTTTTTTTTGGGATTGTTGGATGGGTGTTGGTAGTGGTGGTCCCGTGGTTCTAGCGGTATTTGAGTCGTAGTGGGTGGGTTTGTAGGTGGGGGTGATGGTGGTGGTGGCAGTGTTGTTTGCTACGGTATTTGAGATAATGATTTTCTTGTCGAAAGGTCGTGATGTTGGTTTTGGCTACTGTGATTTCAGATGCTATGCTGTGGTGGCAGTGGTGTGGTTGTGGTCATAAGTGTTAGCGGTGGTCGCAAATGATTTGGATGATTGTGACCTATAAATTTGTCGGTATGTGAACAATGAAATAGATAAATTGTGACTAATAAATAATATGTGACCTAAAAATTTTATTAATTTGTGGTCAATAAATAATTTGATAAATTGTGACCTAATATAATTTGTGGTCAATTAATTTGATGCTTTGTAACCATGAAATAAGTTGTAATTTATAAAATTTGTGATTTGTGACAATAAATGATACGTGACTATTAATTTGATTAATTTGTAGACATGAAATAACTTGTGATATATAAAATTTTTATTTGTGATCGAGACTTTATTTGATATCAAGTAATTTGTAAATTTGTGATCAAATTATATAAAATTGTGACTTTATATTTAATTTATAAAATATATTTCTAATTAATTATTTTTGAAATAAAATTTGATTAATATCTGATTTTTGAAATTTTAAACATTTCATCTGAATTTTGAAATGAGTTATACTTAAACTCTTATAATGAATTTTCCCCCTAAATATTTTTCCTAATTAAAATTAAAATTAAAATCAAAGTCAATAGTTAATTTTAACAATAATATTATTATAAAAAATGGGGGTGGGCCCCATTTTTTATAATAATATTTTATTCACATGGGGCAACTCTCATGTGAGTATTCTGGTATTTTTACAAATGAAATAATTCTGTACAAGTGGTTTAATTGTATATTTTATGGGGTTCATCACTTTTGAATCACATACTTTATCAATTTTCATAAAAAATAAAAAAAATTAAATTTTATCTAAACAAAACGAGGACATTGTGCCATTGTTAAAAAATGTATGTAGGGCATGTTTGAGCCACATTATTTTGGAAAAATATATTTTGGAATAGTAGATTGATGGAGAATGTATGGTTAAAAAAATAAGGAAAAGTTATTAATATAATAGAAAATATTATTTTATTAAAAAATGTATAATTGAAAATGCGTAGAGGAATGACAACAAACTTAATCCCAATTAGTCAAATTCCTCAGCCTACGATCTTTTTCTTTACTTCAATAATTTGAGTCGAAATTTCCGATATGTGTCTTGTCAATTCATAGAAGCAGGACAAACTCCATGGAATGCTCGTGAATTTTGTTGACTTACGAAAGCGTACAAAATTGACTATCAGTCCAATGAACGGATAGAATTTTCAGAAGCATATCGGCATCCAATGACCAAAATTACAACTAATTCAATGGTCCCCAAAGAAAAAAATGGCTTCGTATAGCGATCCCAACCCTTTGCTAAAGATTGTTCTTATGCACTTTAATAGACTGGAACATTTCTTTTTTTTTTTTTTTCAATCCACCTTTGGAAAAAATAAATGGAATATTAAAAAATAAATAAAGGAATAAAGCGACAAATATTAACGAAAAAGGGCAAACAAACAAGAAAAAGAAAATAATAAAGGAACGACACAGAAAAATAAAGTAGGTTTTGATTTTTAATTTTTGAACCTCCCATACCATACTAAAGACAAATGCTAAGTGGGATTCTTTGGTCACCTTAAAGGCACCCCCACCAATTTTTGTCCACCTTCTACCATCTTTTAACATTTCTTTTTCCTTTTTTTTTTAATATTTCTTTTATATAAAATGAAAGGGTTTATGTTGTTAAATTTAATTTATTACTGCAAACGAAACAATATATTTGGATAAATACTTGAAAATGTGTACTGCAATACACATGATTTCTTCTCTCGAGCATTAAATATTTTCATAAATTAAAAATTCGTGTTTGGTGAGAATTAAAATTAGATTTTTAATATATTTTGATAAAAGTTTATGAAATATAACGTTGAAAATTTGTGAGGCTGATTAAAATTAATTATTAATTTAAATTTTAATCTCTATCAGGAGTTAAAAGAAAATACTTCAAAAGAGAAAAAAAAATAATAATTTGATAATTACTTGCAAATGAAGACATGGGAGGCATGCACAGATGCTTCTCATCACATGAGGAGAAATAAATCCTACCGAAATCATGTCACGTGCAGTGCACGTGACCAGAGCCGTGGCAGAAATGTAAACCAGTTGTCTGTTTGTTGACTGCCTTCAATAAACAGAAGCGAATGAGTGATTACACTGATTCACGCGTTTTGATTCAATTTGGATACCTCCGAGTCAACTCAGACAATATATAATGGTTTGGGATGTACGTCTTTCAGCAAACCCAAAATTTGTTGCATTGTGGGCCTTTTCCCTGGCGCCTCCGCCGTGCACAAGTACCCAATTCTGAGACACTCCACCATCTCACTCACTGAGTCACCATCGAGTCTCAGCCTCGAGTTAAGAGCGTTCTCCCCTTTTCCATCCTTTATTAATCTCCTCACCCAGTTGACAGTTTCATGTGAACCTTGTTTTCCTGTTAACAACTCCACTAGCACTACACCAAAATTATAAACATCAGCCTCTGTGGAGCCACCAACTCGGTCTTGACTCAATGCACAGTCAGTTATCCGGGGTTCAAAGTCATCCGCCAACATGATATTAGACGGAACCAAATGTCCGTGCACCACCGGCTTGGACCGTGCATGGTGCAGATAGGCGAGTCCACGCGCTATACCCACTGCAATGCGGTGGCGCGTGTGCCACTCCAATTTCTCCGGCGATGCATTATCGGACCCATTTTGAAGCTCCCACGTGTCAGTGCTCCAGTCTTCCACGTTGGGTACTCCCGTTGGAAGCTCATGCAACCAACGGTGGAGATCACCGTTGGCCATAAATTCATACAATACCAACTTTTCCTTACCTGCAGAAAAAAGCAATTTACCAAATTGATACTTTAATGTTAAGTCACTGTCAAAAGTCATGAATCAATCAATCAAATGCCTCGTTTAATGAGTTAGGTTGAAATGTCACGAATTTTGATGAATCTAAACTCAAGTTAAATAAGTGATTATTCTTAACTAATTTTTACTTAAAAACCAGATTCTTCAAAGTTAAGACAGAAATAAGTGATTATTCTTTACTAATTTTCACTTAAAACCAGATTCTTCAAAGTTAAGACAGACATTCTTTTATGCTACAGTACTAGGTAAATCCCAAGTTATCAATTCAAATCACATGCCTGGCCGCTATGCACAATAAAATTGCAGGCTGCAGTTGAAAATTAAAGTTGGATTTCTGTGACATTTTCTTAAGAACTGCTATTCACGTGAACGCATTGAATTTGGGCACTGCTAAATCAGTGTCTCTCATAGTCATAGATTTTTACGGAAGGCGACAGCATTTATGGAACGTACGTACCAAATGTGAACAGAAGTAAAGGCCACGTACCTGCAATGCAATAGCCAGAAATAGGCAGCAAATTGGGGTGTTTCAACCCTGATAAGTCTTCAAACATGGCTACAGCTTCATCATGGTTAAGGTCCCTAGCATATTCCAGGACCTTGATTGCCACGTGGAGGTCACCTGGTAGTACGGCTCTGTAAACGGGCCCACATCTACCCTCTGCAAGAAGGGACTCTTTCCCAAAGTGTGATGTTGCTGCAATTAAGTCCTTAAATGAAAGGTTCATCAATGGCTTCTCAAACATCACCACCGGTGCTGAAGAGGGTTCTTTAATATCAGCCACCCAAGAGGACCCGGATTCCGTTTCAAACGAAAATGGACCTGACTTTTCGAATCTAAATGGTACTTGAATTGGCCTTGAAATTGCCCATTTGTTTTGTCTAGCCATCTTTCTCTTCTTGTACACGCAATATGTGAAAACCCCAATAGCCAAGACAAGAAATGCTGATGAAAGTGATACGGCTAAAACCAGAGTCTTGGTTTTCGATTTGGATTTCATTTTTTTGATGAAATTTATGTTTTTGTCTGGTAATTTGTGAGGTGGATTGGGTGAACGATGGGGCAACTCAGTATAATTCTGAGTTTTGAAATTTCCGGCATGAATAAAAGATGAATTACCAAATTGTTTTACAGTTTTTGAATCCAATTCACCTGAGAAGTTATTGAACGAGACATTCAAGAACTGGAGATTACCTAAAGATGGGAAATCAGCAGGAAAATTTCCAGTCAATTTATTATTTGAAACATTAAGATATTTCAAATGTGAGAGACCTGAAATGGGCTTTAAACTCCCAGAAATATTACAACTAGAAATATTAAGAGTCTCAAGATTGGTTAAGTTGGCGAACCAATTCGGTAGAACAACTCGAAAATTATTGTGTGAGAGATCAAGAAAAGTGAGATTACGAAAATTAGAGAAATAAGTAAAATTCTTAAACCTATTGAAAGAAAGATTAATCTTTCGAATTGCTGAAGATTTTAAAAAAGCAGGTTTTTGGGGACCGATTGAGCCTCCTAACTGGTTCATCGACAGGTTAATTTCAACAAGAGATGGAATAGACCAAAAAGCAGAAGAAACAGAGCCATTCAAATCATTTTCGGAGAGATCTATAGTTTGAAGATTGGACATGTGTTTTAGGAACTTCCATGAGACGCTGCCACTAAGATTTTTTGATCGGAGTTTAATTACAGGAATTGGAGGATTCGAACAGTTGGGTTGGGAGTGTTTGAACCAGGTGATGTCGAAACCAGTAACAGAGGCGAAGGCCTTGTAGAGCAGGGTTTGGTCTCTGCTGTTGCATTTTGATGATTCTGTAACTGCAAAAACTGAAATTACAAGCAAAAATTTCAAAAAGATTTTCATGGTTAAGTGCTCGCTGGTTCAAAATTCCATGGCAGATGAGAGAGAAATCTTTCCTTCTGGTGTATAATACGGGAAGAAGAAAAAAGACGAAGAAAGAGAACAATGTATAGTGGGTTTGAGGAGTGAGGTGATTGAGCAAACGTTATTAGGCTTTATTATTATCATTATTATTATTATTATAAAGTAGGGAAAAGAGATTGTGAAACATAGGTATGCGATTTTTTTTTAAATTTTTTTTGTGAACTTTTTTTTTCACTATAGTGAATTCTGCAGTGACGAAAAATAACATAATTTTACATTGAAGCGGACCTTTATAAATTTTGCGTGTTCTTGAATGTTTATTTTTCTTTCTACAATTGTTTGCTTTTGGTTAGGGATGACAACAGGGTGCCCCGGCAAACAATTCCACATCTCGTCCACGTTCTGTTACCCGTTTAATGCAGGGCGGGACGGAGCCTCGTTTACAACCCCATTTAATTTTTTTTTAATAATTTATTTTATTGCTCATATTCATTACATTGAGACAAATAATTTTAGTTGCCATTTTCTATTAGAACTTATGAAATTTCGTGAAATTTTTAATTTATATCCGTCCCCGCCCCGTCCCAAACCCTAATACCCGATTAAGCGGGTAATTTCTATCATGTTCGGGCCGGGACTCACGGATATCGGGTTTTTTGAAATTTTTTACCATCCCTACTTTTGGTAGAATGGAGAGTTACGGTCTATAATCCTCAACAACTCCTTCTGTGTTCTTTAATTTATAAATTTTACAGAGTCCAATAATTGGTCATGTGGACTCAGTGACAAATCCAAGAATGTAGGTGAGTTAGGACAATCGTTGATCATCAATTGTCGACCATCAAAAACCGCAATAGCAATCATTCATTAATATTTAATTATATACTATAAAAAAATTCAATTAATATATAAATGCACTAGAACATAAAAATCATATACATATAAAAATATAATCAAATACAACTCAAAATAATAAGGAAAAAAGAAAATAACAAATATACAAATTCACTCAGTAACAATAAGCTCAGACAATTGCATTATCTGGAATATCAAATTTTGAAAGATTCAGAAAATTGCCTCATTCTCAATTTTGATTGTAGGATTTCTCAATCCAAAATTTCATGTCGATCTAATCAAATCAAAACTAAATTACTGAAATTTCATTTGAATGGTTTTCGTCCAAAAAAAAAAAAAATCATTAGTTGACTAAAAGTCAAGTATTTGATAATATTTAAAAGTACAAAATGATAAATTATTCAATTAATACCCGTGGAATCAAATTGTTATTAAATTCCAAGGGCATGTTAAGGTGACACAAATTATGTACTCACGCGACTAGATACATATAGCACTATCGTAATCTCAAAGGGCTCCAAATAATAAAAAAAAAAAACACAATAATTGCATTTGAGCTCTCTCAAATTAGTTTGATTTTGTCCGCTCCAGCTTTTGTCTCTCTCTCTCTCTATGATTCTCCACAGCATCGCTTAGTTCCAGCAAAAATCAAGTTTTTTTCTTTGAATTTCATTTTATCTTGTGTTTACAGTTTCCTTCATGCGGGTTTAGGGTTTCTTTGGGATTACGTAATTAGTTATTTTTTTCTTTGCAAGAATCTTCCCATGTTTTATTTTTACCAGTTTTCATATACATAATCAAAGAACGGTCTTGTTAATACAGACGGAGCCAGCCCGAGTAATCGTCGGGGCTCGCGGGTGCTAGCTCCACCAGTTTATGAGTCGTGTGTGGACCGATGAATCATAATTCAATTGATTATGTCCATTTTTGCTCCATTCAACGACATGTTTTGTTTTTACACTTCAAAATAATTATAAGTGCAATTATTGTATATAAATTTCTAATTTCACTTTTGTACCATATGTGTCAAGTGGCAAAGTATTATTATTATTATTATTATTATTATTTGTTACGGGCCTGTGTCAGACCCGCCACCTCACCCGCCACGTGTTCATACCCGTGGCCCAAGCCACGTGCCGAACGAGGTGATTAAACCAAAAACCGAATTGATTGTACATGTCGAGGTGATTGCACTAAGGAGAACTGAAAACGCGTCAGCGTACGAACCGGACTCATCCAC